TAGGTTATGAACCAAACTAAATAACAGTAAACCTGTTTTTGATTTACGGTATTTTCTTATTTTGATATCTTGTGTTTAGAACAATATATACTAATTTGTAAAGTATCAAATTGAAGTTTTGTTCAATAAAAATCTTTCAAATGCGACTGTAGCTTTTTTTTTCCCCGAACACTTTGTCTTCAAAATAAGGGTGCGTCTTATATTCCGAAAAATACGGTAAATAGCACCTGGACCACTACCATATCTGACCTATCCGAGTCATCCTGATGGGCCCTGGTATTGGATGAAAGGTCTTGCTGGCACTGGCTGATATAATATTACATATTCTTTACTTTCACTCATAGGTTCTTTGAATTAGATTCTTACTCTTGTTCGATTCACTAAAACTTGGGATATCACAAACAGGTTACAACTAAACCACATATCATTCTTCTCTAGAGTATAAACAGATGATATTACTATTACTATTACTTTGGTGGTATTTTCAGGTCAAGCTAATTTTCCTTAGAGCAGTGGGGTAGCTTCATTGAATACATTGAGATTCGTAAAGATATTTATCAAGTAGTTCTGAGTTGCTTAAACAACTGAGTTCGTGAGAATAAAATAGAGACAGGACACAATGTAAAAAAGTGTGAGTAACTGCTTCTCGTCGACGGACGGTCGCTTTCACTAGATCAAAGATAACATCTATCGTACTGATTTAACCAAGATAATTTAACTCATTTACACCAGAATATTTAACGGAGGTCGTAACTTCAACGTATCATCTGACCTACCACTGGAGGACGCCGCTGTAGACATCCTTTCACAATATGCAGTGTTACAACCATACCCCCATCGGTAGACCAAGTATTACCTCAAGAGAACAAAGACAGCTAGAATGAAAGCAAATTAATGACTTACTTAACTAAGTGTTATGTAAAACCTGTATATAAAAGAATAACTGACAAATTCCGAAAAGTACTATGGGTTGAAAATACGGTAGAATACCGTGTATTTTCAACTCAAAAGCCACCAGTAATAGTAATACGTGCCCAAAGTAATCATTTTAATTAAAATGACCGTCAATGTGTACCACAAAAAGTTATTTATCCAATCATTCAAAATATAACAACATTCTAACTATTCCTTCCACAAACAACCCAAACAAATACTTATCGATGAATTTTTAAAACTGTCAAGCGTATGTATTATGAATAGTTTTATAATAATATTTCGTCGTCACGATATACGTAAACAAAAGCATCTCTTACTCTTAGGATCCTTATGTTATGTACACCATAAACAACAGGCCGTAGTTTTAGATGTACAATTTAATAAAGAAATGGAATAAACACGAATAACAATACATACGCTTCAATTTTGACGTAAAAGGCTGAGACACATAAACTGCATTAAATTTAGTACTCGGTATTGTTTTTCTACGCACGTGGCAGTGATCATAACTCGTTGCCATATGCGTACGATTCGATCATGTAGCAATAAAACGTTATCTGAGAACAAATTACCATATAATTTAAATAATATGGTATTTTACTTATACCTATTTATGATAAATGATATTTTCAAAAGACAATTAACTTTTTTAAAACATATACACTTTTAAAGCTCTTGAAGTCGTACATATTTTCATTCGCAACACACTAACTTTCGTTTTACTTTTAGGCTTAAGCTGCCGCGTGAATTTACCACATCATTTAATTTTAAGGTGTAATTAATATTAATAATGTAATATAAAATTTAATATCAATACTAATAAATTTTGACTAAGTTTAATCAATAACGAGTAATACTACTCACAAGTGTATGGAAGTATTTATGCAAAATTAAGGACGGAGCTACTACGCCACAGCTGAGGTTACACGATAGTTTCTGAAAAGGTTTTAGTATCCTCTCCACCCGCTTCTTCCCTGCATTGCTTCACAGTACGTGGCATTGGCACGAGACACGGCAACGAAACCTTACAGAGATATCATGTGCTGCCATCTGATGGAAGCAATAAAAATGAAGTTTGTTACGACTTTCGCGGAAAGCTACTCGTTGGCCGTACCTAATTTAACAGTGATAGGAGGGAAGGCAGCTAGTCAACACCACTCACCGCCAACTCTTTAACCAACGATTAATGGGACTGACCGTCACAGAATAACGTCCCTATGGCTGAAAGGGCGAGCAAATTACGAGTCGAGCGTCTTTACCATCAGATCATGCTAGGTCTCAGAGTTATATCCATAAGCTTCCTTTGATGGAAAACAGGTTTACGGATTTGTCATGAAGAAGTCGGCACTCATTTGATAATATCATTGCATTACTTATCCGTCATTCACACAGTAAATATGATATACGAAGTACAAAATAATTTAATGCACTCAAGTATTTTGTTTGTTATGAAGCACAAAGCTGCACAATTAGCTATTTGTGCTTTTCATATCGCAGGTATCGAAACATGATTTTAGTATTATAAGCCCTCGGACTTACCACTGAGCCAAGAGGGGGCGCAACCAACTAAAATTGAATAAATTTATGTCATATAAAATTTGCTGAAAAATATATTTATCAAATACGGTTCAAAGGCTTTCTCCACAAGATTTATATAGATATTTAATTAATATAACCAAATAACCTTGAAACTAGCATAATTTTACAGTTGATATACAGTCTCAATATAAAATCGTTTTTCTGCTTTATTCGTGCAAGTAAACTGGTAAAATTCAAACATATCAAGTGCCAAAAGAAAAATGTAAGTTTAGAAGCATTTATTATAAACACATTTCAAATATCTCCCTTGACTCATAATAAACGTAGGATTAGAAATAAAATGCACTGATATTTTTTCCACGTTGATTGAAGGTTTATTTGACGCAAGCTTTTAACTACAGTATTGGATCTCCATCAGACTCAATTGTGCATTTCATTAAATTTGAAATATGTTTACAGGTTTCTATTTTTAATTGCATAATCCCAGTTGATTTGCATTGCATAGTCTTTAAAAATACACAATAAATTAGAACACAAGCCGTTTTAACCATAAACTTAGGTTAAACATCCTATTTATAACATTATATACAGATTTTCTACATTCTTCTGTATTACATCAATCTTTTATTAATACTCCAAAATTTTAGAAATATTAATCAAATAAACATGTTCTACAAGCAAACAAATGTTAAACCTATGTCAAAGTTCTATACAAAGTTGTTTCTTTTTTCTTCTGCTGATTGTTTTTTTAAAATAAGAGGTTTCTGCTTGGTGAAAAAAAAATTCCAGTATGTAGCTGCTATAGCATACTTTTAAAGACTGGATAAGTTGGCTGATGGGATAAATCAATAATGTCATTGCACAGGCCTTTATTTTAAAGTATAAATATTCAATCTGATATACCATCTAACTGTTTTATGTAATAATGTGGTTTTCTTCAAAAACAAATAATTGAAATAAAAATACTAAAGCGAAAAATCCATTTACTTGATATTTAATTCTAAATAAAAAATTACAAAGTAAAATCTAAGAACCTTTAAAGAAAACTTTGATACAAAGTTGCATAAAGCTCTTAATGTACCTTATCAGTGATACTTAAACTCCATTCTAGTGTACATAATTAGTCTTGTAATATTAAAAAAAAAAATTAGGAAGCTAAAACCTAATCTCTTTTTTTTATTAATTTGGATTTTCTGATAGCTATATTTTATACGCAAATATCTGTACTTTGTTAGGAAACAAACTTTCACTTTACTATCAATATGAAAATTTTAGAAGCTTGTAAGTTCTCTGCATTTGCTGTATTTCAGAAGTTTAAATATATACATATACTACAGATGTGTACAATGAAACATTAAAGCCAGTGTACACAGGTATAATAGCAAATTACTGCTGCTGCTATACTCTTTGGAAATCGATATTGTTAAACACAATAATTCTTGATTTTTTTATGATCTAAACTTAGTATTTTCAAAAGAGGGTTATTATCCTAAAAATCTAAGCTGTATTATTAAATAAACCAATAATAAATAATATGAAATTAACCTTCACAGAACTGTAAGTTTGAGTTATTCAAACTCTAATTCTCATTCATAACATTATAATTTCATAAAAACACCGGATCATAACAAAGTTCAAAATAATGTAACTGATATTGTAAGTATAATGCTTCAAAATACTTTAATAATATTGGAAAATAAAAATTCTGGGGGAAAAATTCAGTAAAGTGAATCATACACTTGATGCAATATTATAATCTAAGGAGTCAATAAAACTTATAAAATACATTTACTATTTGTTCACTATGAACCTTCAATTTATTGCATACATACACTAAGAAAAATTTTGAATTACAAATAGTTCTTTATCTGTATATTTAAATGCATAAGTGTATACCAGAACTATATTAACGTATATTAATAAACTTCAGCATCTAATTTCATAGAACATGTTGGACAAGAACATAATTTACAACCCTTTAACACACAATAAAGGTCAACACAAAAAAAACCTTATCACACATTTTAAAAAAACAGGTAACGCATCCTGTTAAAAGACCAATATATAATGATGTCCTTATTAATATACTTTTCTTTAAATAAAAAGTTAAAAAATTAGTTAGTGAAGAAAAATCTGAAGATTGAAAAGTGACTGTACAGAGAATACAAAGAAACCAACACGCATTAACCAAAACAATCTTAATTATATTTGTAGTAAGACAATAGTATTAGGCTTAGTGTACTTTCGAACACTACATAGGGTTTTTCCACACACACAAAAAGTACAATAGTATTTCAAACACACTGTGTCTGCCTCAACCACTTGTTGAAATATTACTATTCTCTCATCCTTCAGCAAAAAACATAGAGGACTGAATAAAAACTGTATTGTTTAAAAACACAATAAGCCTAATACTGTTGTTTTATAGGAAATATAATTAGTATAATCATGCTTTACCAGCAAAAAGCATTCACACCATAACAATACAGATCTTAGTTTAGAAAAATGTTTACTTGGAACAAAGAATTTTTCACTTTATGAGAATAAAATAAGTAAAAGTGCCTGGATAATGGGTGTAACCAGGGTAAAAAGTAAGATCCTAATATGGACTGATGAGAAATTTCTATATATTTTACATTATTTTTCAAAAGTAAAATTAACTATCAGATGGTGATTAAAAACAGGCTGGGTTTAACACTTAAAGCTCATATAAACTGACATTCTTTTATTTGATTAAAATTTTAAAAACCTCTCATATTTTCTTTCAACTACTTTTTTTCCATCCAAAAATCATGTACAGATTTTTTTACTCGAAGAGAGGAAACTGAATAAAATGTTGGTGACCAAAAAACTAATTACATGTTCTTTTCATGTTGATTAATGTAAACATATTTATTATTATTTTTAAATGAATGAAGAATGTTGTCCCCGAGAGAAAGATGTTCCTGATTCCAAAAAATCGCCCTCAAATACCTTAAATTTACTTTCTTATAGTTGTTATGAAGTCTGCAGCAGAAATAAACATTCAGCCAATTATTATTAGCATTGGTGTAGCATCATCATGTGACAACACTGGTGTAGTCAAAATAAGTAAACCCTTGAATATGTCATGGAATACTTTCCTGTTCACTTTTTAAACAGCAAAATCTTAAAATAGATATACATACATACACGACAGTAACTAATAAAGCAAGTGTCCCTAGTTTTGCTTTAAAAAAATATGGTCACCATATTATAAGGTCAATCCGATTCAGGTTAGTGATTATGCAGAATTTCATATGCACTTATTAAATTATAGCATAGGTAAAAAAATAAAAGATCTTTGGTGTATTTATAAACAAATATCAATTACTTATCTACCTAATCTTTAGCTCCAACTGTTTCATGTTTTATAACTTAAAGCATTTAACTTTTGGTCTACTTATATTTGCAGAAATTTGTAAGATGAAATTGTATGCATTAACATTACTTAGAAAGATGTTTTTCCAAAACATATAAATCTTGTATAAAAGCATAAACAGTAGTTTTCTGTTTGTTCTACCATATCCAGTGTTTATAATCAGTTACATCTCTGATATAAAACTTCACAACCCACTACACATACCAAACTAAAAGGCACAAACTGAATTCTTAATTACTGTTTGCATTTTTACCAGTACCACTATTTATAAATAAAGATAAAACTTTTTGATATATAACTGACACATACATACAGAAGGTTGAAATAAGTATCTTGAAAATTATCAAGATTCTCCTAAACCTTTTTGTTGTAATGAAGTTATATTTTTAGTTTTCCAATTTATTCTTGCACAAAACTACATAAGGGTTTATCTGTGTTAGCTGTCCTTAATTTGGAACTGAGAGACTAGAGGGGAGGCAACTAGTCAACAGTACTCATCACCAATTCTTGGGTTCTCTAACCAAACAGTAGGATTTTACCATCACTCTTATAATGCACCCATGGCCCAAAAGTGTGAAGCACGATTTTACAGCAATCTCCCTCAGTCAGCAGCATTTACTACCTATATAACTACTCTTAACTAAATAGCAAGGTTCACTTTTAATTTTATAAAGCACTCACAGCCGTAATAGCAGTGTATGTATTTCACAAATTATACAAAAATTTAGTATTAATTAGAAACAAAAAATGAATTATTTACTGATAGTGTGATGTTTATTTAAGACTTCCTCTGTATTATATTTCAAATTATTTTAATGTATTTTATATTCCAAACAAGTTTTTTGAACAAATAAGATTGATTTTGATTTAGAAAAATGAAAATAGATTTAGAGCATTAAAAACATTTACAAACAAGTACTTGCTTTTTTTTACCTTAGTTGAAGATGGACATTTTTTCCTAACAAAATGATCAAGAAAAGAAAACACTAGCTACTCTGAACATGAATAAGTTATCATTCCAGTTTATGAAGACAGTAAATACTGTGAATTATGATTAGCAATGGAAATGTGTTAACAATACATAGTTATTTTCTGATTAAAGGTATTACAACATTACGAAGATTCCGTGTTTTTCTTCCCACATAAAAGGCCATATACTTTTGCTATGACCTTCATTTGATGAAGTTTGGACAGGATATAGTTAACAACAAATAGCTGAAAACAAAACAATAATTACACACTTTTTTGTTCTGTACATAAAATATTTGTATTTTCAGGCTGGAACTCACATGATCCAGGTATATTTTACCTATCACTATTACACACCTTTACATCTCATATGGTATGGTAGCCGAGATTTCTAAATTCACAAATGTATATTTGTTTTAAAACAATGCAACCAATACATCCCAAATGTAGGAACAATAACCTGGCTATTAATTAATAATGATATACTTAATATTAAATGATTAAAACTAGTATTTACAGCCACTGTTAAAGGGCCATGAATTTATAAAGTGGCACGGTAAAAACTGTTATCGAAACATGCCTATCATCTTGCTAGATAACAGTATTGGTGATGTGTCTAAAATACAAGTCAATAGATATTTAAACATGCTTAACAAGTATTGCATGGGCTGGAGCAAATGAAATTTATAGTGTAAAAGATATACGAGAGAGGCTTTGAAAAATCTTTTGATACAGGTATAGACTAAGCAATTAAAATTTGTAATAAAAAAAAGAAACTTTTTGTCATTATATAATCTTTTTCAAATCACTTCCAAGAGTCTACTGTAGATGAAGAGAAACAGACTAAAGCTATAATTATCTTCCTTTTTGTGTTTTACTTGTATAAAAATTGTTTATGTTGTGTTTCATTTAAACTATGTTAATTAACGAAAAGAAACCTCAAAATGCATCACATGAAATTATGGTCGGATGAAGCACAAAAAATAATTATTTACAAAAGAAATAAATTATTGATAGCTATCAATTTCTGGTTGCACAATATATTTCAGTTTTTGTACTTGGCAAAAGAAACAAGCAAAATGTTAACATGGAACACTGTATTTGTGTCAGTATTAATAAGATGCCCATTTTAAATTTAAAATTATCTGTGAAAATTTACCATTTCCTAGTCAGCCCAAAGTTGTACAATTTCCACTTCTGATGAAATACGGTTTGTTTCACAGAAAACTTGAAAAACAAAATCACATAAAACTAGGATTTGTGTAAAACAGAAAAAAATATTGGTGGCTATCAATTCCTTTCTAAAAATTATTTTTCAATTTTGGTACTTGACAAAAAAAAATAAGCAAAATTTTAATCTCATAGAACATCACATTTGCATTAATATTAATAAGGTGATTGTTTCCGGATTTAGTTATGTATAAATTTATAATTTTTTTCTTGTCAATTTAAGTTGCACAATTCCCACTTTTGATGAAATAAGTTGATATATATGTATTCAAATATAGCTTGTTTTTACACATGGAAATACTTCAACAGCAAATTTATTTATTAAAATCAACAACATCTACACTGTGAACACAGTGATCCTGCATAGCTGAACTCTTCTGATACCTGGTTTCCTT